TTTCTAGTAAGAATTTTGTGGTCTCAACATTAATTTTTCTGTTGGACAAGGTACATGTGTAATTTCTGAGAGTATGGTTATGTAAGTTAAGTAATACCAATGGGAAAGTTAAAACAGATTTAAATATAACCTTTCTGCCTGTAAACACACTTGTAAGTGCAGTCTTTCCTCCTGGAGCAGAGCCAATGAGTGTCATTGTCCCGGCTTCATAGACCCCGGCCCCTTGTGTCAGGAGCTGCACTTTTGACTTTCACTGTTTAATGAAGCAGCACAGAGAAATGACCCATCCGGAGGTTTCCATCAGCTGGATGTGCGCGCAGCGGCGGCGACAAGGGGCCGTTCAGCCCCACTTATTCACAAATGGAGTCAATATTTCATCCTAATTCTCTCTTTTCTACGCAGTGTTCGACAAAGCCTCGCTACATTCACCGAGCAAAGCATCCGCAAACGTTCACCTCTATAAGTCAGCAAAAAGATGGCCGCCTTTAGAGATGAAAGTGCGTTTGAGCAGGTCCAGTGCGCAGGCGAGAGCTGTTTTCACTGTAATGCAAAACAACATTAACCTCTATCTTGGGAATTCACTGCATTACCGTTTCTTATCCAAACCACTTGGCCTGTACGCTCTGTCAGGAAGTGCAGTGTCTCTGAACACGTTTCCCTGCAACATGCACACACACAACCACAAACATACACCACATTCATACACACGTGCATACACTAATGAAATTTGTAAAAACAAATGGTGCACGCCGGGTTTTGTCTTCACCCAGGAAGCACTAATCCCTGAAGCTGACAGTAATAGCTTGTCAGACACAAACAGTCTCCCACACGCAGACGCACTCGCATGCTCACTTAGCAGCTTGTGTTGCATTAGCCACACGACACGCAGCAGCTGTAACCTGTTCAAACTTCATGTGTGACTGTTCACTCCCAATTAATCAAAATAAGACTAGGTGAAAGATCAGCTGTGTCACAAAATGGTGAAAATACACAAAAGTATACTCACATATGGACAATGTCTTGTGACTATGACAAGATTTTCATTTTGACTCAATTTAAATTGCACTGAAAGCTATATTAGAGTAATGTTGTATTAAAGGGCCACCATGAACACAAACACACATGATATTAGTTATTTCAGGTGTGTGACCATCATGTACTATGCATCAGTCTGGAATCCCACCAAAATGAAACTATATTGTTATAGAAACTACTACTTAATCCATTTCTGGGTCGGGGGGGTGATCCTCCTGCAGGTGGTGAGTCCACAGGAGAATGGCTGCTTTGTTGGTGCCTTAATCTTTCAGTGGGGTTTCAGGAAAAGCGGGGTGAAGTGTCTTGCCCAAAGACAAATCGACAGCAGACATCAGTGAGAGTCAGTGCTCGAACCCATGACCTTCAGGCTTAAAGGGCAATGCTCCTCCAACTGAGCCACTGTCCCCCCCCCATGGTTTCAGTGCTCCCACAGCATGAAGGTCCAGCGCTCCGTTCAAACCAAATTTAAAACACACTCTCCCCTTCAGATAAACCAGTACAAGCAGGACTATAGCTGCTGCAAGAGGGTTCATGAGCTGCTGAGGAAAATGTTCATAAAAGTCCCCAGTGTGGGACGAATAAAGGATCACTTAATAGATGTCCTGGATCATCATTTACAGATCGATTGGTTCTCTAGTACTTTGACGACGAATTGACAATTTTTTATAGTCCTCTGAGACAGAGTACAGGTTTCAAACGCTCATTTGCTAAAAGAAACCGTGTGTACTCAGCCACAGTAGCATGCTTGTTGCTACCTTCCATCACTGGTAAAAGTGATTTTCCACATCTGTCTAAATCTGCCAAAGCCAAACTGACATGTGGCCATCTTGAAAGTGCCGCTTCCATTTGACACCAAAGCCTTTTCTTTCTTCAAACACAGACCCTCGCCATCTGAGGTTGCAGCCTGATCACATTTGCACTTCAAAACATTGTACCCTTTTAATCAGCTATTGTGCATGCCCAGTCAACCACTGCAGACATTCTGAGCGGAATCTCACAGCGAGGCGCACAAAGCTATCTTTGATTATACGCCGGCCCATGGGGAAACTTTATCAAACTGCTCTCACTACCGACAGAGAAGGAGTGAAGGACCGGCTGCTCCATCGCTGAGGCCCAATGAAGACGAGAAAGCAAAAACTCGCCTTTGATCCAGACGTAAGTGTCTCAGCGGGCAAGCAAACGTGCTACCACTTCTGTCGCCCAATCACACTGCTGTTTCTAACGCTTAGCAGGTTCCCAAAACCGCCGCCAGAAAGGCAAGCTACGCCGATCATTCTCAAGACAGGAAAAAGGCACATGCATGACGAAAACTGAAGTCTGGATGAGGTCTATAGTCAATGTGTGATCCAGGGGCAAAACTGGGCTTGCAAATCAGCAGATCCGGCCCAAAATTATGACATCTAGTCCTGTTCTTGCTTGTTGTCATTCTAGATACATGCTTTTGGTTTCCTTCTTAGTAGTCAGTGTATTTTTAACTGTCATGAGACAAAGGGGGGCATTGCCAAAAAAGAATAAGATACAGTTGAGACGCTGTTAAAAAATTATTATTAGGTATACATGTGCATTCAGTCTTTAAAATCCTTGTCCGTGTTCGTGCGTCTACCATCAACAACCGGCAGTAGCTCAGTTGGTAGAGCGTTGGCCTTTGAGCCAGAAGGTCGTGGGTTCAAGCCCTGCTCAAGACTTTCATCATCGACTCCCACTGACTACTGTTGTTGTGTCCTTGGCAAGACACTTAACCTCTGGGAACACCAGCCACAGTGGGGCGGCTGCGGCTGTAAAGTGCCAAACTGCCGTTGTGTCCTTAGGCAAGACACTTCACCCCCATTGCCTAGAATGAGTCTGGTGTGTGTGTGGATGGTTGGTGGTGGTCAGAGGGGCCGATGGCACATACTGGTTGCCTCGCTTCTGTCAGTGTGCCCCAGGGCAGCTGTGGCTACATTAGTAGTTTATCACCACCGTGTATGGAGTGAATGAATAATGACACATGTGAAGCGTCTTTGAGTGTCCAAAAAAGCGCTATATAAAACCGATGCATTATTATTATTATTAACAATAAAACATGTCTTCTGTCTGAATTTAAAACACAATCCCAGACTTTGTCATCTTCTTCAGTACATGTAGAAATGCACCAAAGCTACTGAGAAAAACTTTAGTCAGGTAACCGAGTACAAGACACATACATGTATTTATGTATGTATGTGTGTATGTACTGTATGTATGTATGCATGTATATGTATGTATGTACAGTATATCTGTGCACTGTATGTCTTTCACATATTTACTGCTCTTTGCAATTCTACAGCATTGTGCAACAAAAATACAGTCACCTACATGTATGCATAGAACAAACATACAAGAAATATCATTATGGTAGAACTGTGACAAAACACACACCTCCTCATGAGTGAAGCTGAAATTGACTTGAGAGACATTGTTAAATTTAGGAAAGATTTACAGGAAAAAAAAGATAAAGGAATGTATGAAATGAGTTCGACAGATTTTGGTTTTGAACTAGTTCAACAGTTTTGTATGTGATACCAAAGCAATGAAATTACGACTATTGGTTTTAAAGAGAAAGACTATTCAGAAGTCATAAGTATGTTTCATTCTGACTGACTGGACAGAAGCAAATGATAATGTTATAAAACATCAGAGAATTGTATGAAAGTAACTGATACATGAACAAAAGCATTTGTAATCTGTTCAAAGGAGAAACTGCTGTGATGATGTCACACACGACTCAGAGTTGTGGAGGTTGAACTCATAGATTTGAGAACTTTAAGTCTGATGTGAGAAATGCACCAACTGAGAAAAACTGTTTCTTATTTTGTAGCATTTAAAATCAATGAAATCTCACCAACAATTGATCTTTCCACAAGAAGATAAAGTGGTGATAAAGTGGTTTAGCGACTTCAGTGGTGGGACAGTAACATTTAAGATGCTATAGAATTACGTGCAGTAGAACATGTAAAGATTTAATCTAGTAGCCTCTTTGTTTTATTGTATTCAATGTAAATTAAAACATTACATTACATTGCACATTTGTTTTCTATTAATTAACTTTATTATTATCATTATTATTTTTTAACTACAGTCAGGATGACAGGGGAAGCAGATCTTCCCCCTCTCCCGAAGAAGACAAAGTAAAGTGGTTCAGCTACTTCAGCTCAGCCTGTGATAATGGCCTTATTTACATAACAAAGTTGGCCGTTCACAGGTGATTTAGTTTGTTAGCTAAAATCCTTGGAGTCATTTGGCACCGTGGTGGGCTTTTTAGGTAGAAGTGCCAAATGGCACCTCCGGGAGTTCTTGTGTTAAACATATCAAGTACAAAAAATAACCAACCTTATACAAATCATAAAAAGTGGCTCCTTGTTTATTGCAAGAGTTATGTTCTAAAAATAACCTGCAAAAAGCGAAATCCACAAAGTAATAGCTATAGTAGTTTTAAGGCTGTAAAACCCCTTACCACACGCTTGATACACTTTTCTAACCACCTGAACTCACAACTGCTGAAGTGCAACCGCAGAAATATCAAACATGTTTGTTGTAGGTTTGAGCACTGCTGCAGCTGTCAAAAGACATAACTTTTGTGGCAGACTATGAAAGACAACAGTCAAAAAGATAACATTTTCCACACAAAAATAGCAGTAGCCAATCCTCCAGGACAATTACGACTTGGGTCTGTGCAGATGGAAGCCTCACAGACAACACATGTTTCAAATTAATTAGAGTAGAATTAAAAAAATAGACCCAATGAAGAGGTGTTATACCAGTGTGTTTGCAGTAATGAGACTGTGACATGGAAAGCACTTGTATTTGGAGGTAATCTCTACAGCCACAACATTGGAAGAACACTCAGAATTCCTCAAATCATTGGGGCAATGAAGACATTGACAGCTCTCAATAATCATTCAATTGGCTTTTACTTGCTTAATCGCAATTCACCACAAAGTATTTCTTCATCCGCTGTCAACCTCAGCCACACACACATCACATCTCCAACAGCAGGAGCACTCACCCATCTCGGTGTCCGACTTATTGTCCATTTCCGTGTCGGTGAGCGTGAGTGCGGAGTTGGAGCGGCTGGAGAGGCAGGAAGAGTTCTGAGCGGACTTAGGCCCGTTCCCCCACAGGGCCATGCTGCGCTCCGGGGACACGGGCTCATGCTTCTCCCTGTAGTTACCCAGAGGGTGGGACGGGCCGCGGCGTGCTGCGGAAGAGCGCTCACAGAAGCCCAGCTGCCTCAGGGAAAAGGTCTGCCCTGCAGATGACACCAGAGGCAAGCCCGAGTTAACCCAGAGTTAACTGAGCGGGCAGCGTGTAATGACCCGCGCATCACAACACACACACAAGAAGGGGAGTGGGAGGGATGGAACAGTGTGCTTAGAACCACCCCACCAGTGATCACGATTCAAAAGGGTTTAGAGTTATGGTTATAGTCCATGAACAAATGGCAATAGTATTTTTTTCACAATAGATTATCTCCATAAGCCTCCAGAACAACCAAGCCCTGGTGATCCAAGATGTCTGTCCATTCAAATCAATGACATGTGCTCATTGACGTATGATTGCACTTTGAACGCCAAAATATCAGTGGAAGAGAAGCATTTCTAGTCATCTCTAAGCCTCCCAGTTTTGTGCAGCAGATCAATTGATCTGGACTTACAATACAGACGGCCTCTTCAAGAAGGGCCAGAGCAGGCTTTACCTGCTGAGGAGCCTCAGGTCTTTTGGAGTGCAGGGGCCACTTCTGAAGACCGCAGCCATCTTGTATATTGTGGTCTGCTGGAGCAGAAGCATCACAGAGAGGGATAGGAAGAAGCTGGAAATGTAGTCAGTAAGTCCAGCTCTGTCCCCTGGACACAGTGCAGCAGGTGAGGGGCAGGAGGGTCCTGGAAAAACTAACATCTATACAGGATCATGACTGTCCCCCCCTAAGAGACACTCTGTGTGCTCTGGAGAGCAGCTTCAGTGACAGGCTGGTCCACCATCACTGTGTGAAGGAGAGGTTCTAACGGTCTTCCCTTTCTGCTGCTGTCAGGCTGTAAAGCAAACAATGAGGACTAATGAACACTACTGACGTTATCCCAAGTGATATGAATCTGCACAATAAGTTGAAATAAGGTTAGAATGTGCAATATGGGACCATATGTGTCCACTGTCACTTTACTTAGTCACTTTAAGACCTTACACTAACATTTACAGTAGTATCATAAATTAGAACATTTGAACCCTCAGAACTAATGAATATTCTGGCACTAGAGTGTGTTACTGCCATGAGGGGTGAAATGAAGCAAGGACCCAAAACGAAGACTGTAATAAATTATTATGTAAGGGATAATGTATCGATCGCATTTTCGGAAAATAAGTACCGGATTTGCAAACTGGAGACCGACACGTGGTCTGCTTCCGCCACAAAAGTAGTTATTTACTGATTATTACCTGCATTCTATACATTTTCTTGCTTATTACATGGCTTTGTGCCAACTGAACACACACGATAAACTTCAGTCCTTTTAAATGAATGCCGAAAGGTTTATTTAATGACTGCAAATAAAATAGTTCCCAAAGGTTTTGCCGTGCCGTGGCTAGGCGAGTAACAGCTAGGCTAGCTATTTCAAAAATAGAACTCTATCGACCTACATGAAAATTGAACAAAGAATTCTGCACATCGGCTGTGAGTGACCCATATACAGTATAGACTCAACCTAAATCGATAATCAGATCTTCTGCAAATGCATCCTAAATGTTTTTATTAATGTTAATGGTTAAGTCTGGGTTTACCACAATTAAATTTATTCCGCATTAAATGAAAACGTTAACGGGTATTTTTGAAAACCTCCCTGCATGTGGATGCAGGAATGTATATATATGTACATTCCTGCATATATATATATATATAATGTATTATCTGCTTTACATTTTTCTGATTAATTGTTATTTGTGTTTATTGAGCAGAGCTAGCGAGAGAAGTAATGACAAGCGCCGTGTTGCTGAAAGCCCATTAACGAAGTGACATGCAGAGTGATCTTTACACACCTGAATTACAAATTGTGTTGCCATGGACAGAGGCCATTATTGGTTTGACAGGTTCTTTATGGATGGATAGATACTTTATGGATCCCCGTAGGATCAATAAAAATCCAAACGGAACACAGCCAGACAAATACAATGGACCAGCAACAAGGGGAGAGAAGTACAGGGTCCAAATAGACACAGACACAGGTGAAACACATTAGGGCAGGGCAGACAATCAAAACAGGGTCAAACTAAATTGAAACTAAAACAAAGTACAAAAATAATATCCATGGAGATAGATGGATTGATAGATACTTTATTGATCTCCCGTAGGAGAAATTCAGATGTCCAGGAGCAGCAAAAAAACAAACATGCAGCCCGCGGAGATTCATTCTGGAAGACTGACTGCTACAGCCCATCCCTTCCAGGCCTGCCTCACATCCTCAGCCTATCGCTCAGCAAACGCCCATTTCCAACCAACCTATGCCCGCCAAGCCAGCAGCTTCAAAGGCGGAGAACTCCCACTTTACGGCCTTCCCAAAGCCTTGCAACCACCGCCTCCCCTCCTCCTCCTTGTTTCTCCCTGCTGCCCGAATGCCACCACCAGCAGCTAGGTCCCGGGGGGATCGGCGCGCACTCACGCAGGAGCCTCGATGACTGAACGGCGCACCGGGGCCTAGGGCACCAAACTACCTATCAATAAAAACATTCAAACTGCATTTAGTCTTATGAAGTCTCTCCAGTTTGAAATGACAGTTGCTGATTTATCTGAAGATTTATACATACAAGTATATACTTCTTGCCCTTGAGGATGCAGTATTTTATACTTTAGATTTGTATTAAGCTATATACAGTAGGTCCCATTTCGTTTTGTCGCCTTTCACGCGTGAATCACACGAGACTCACGTCTTTTATTATTTTATCTCATCGCTCTTTCTTCTCTCTTCACCGGACAACTATCTGTGGCTTTAAGCCTAGCGTACTGTACATTGGACTGATTATATCCGTCGCCTATGAGTTTCTGCCCCGCGCACATCGACAATCTGGTTAAAACGGGCAACTCCTTGTAGCAGGCCAGTCTCTGGAATAACCCGCAGACATTAAAACTACTGCATATAACGTAAACTTTTGCATCACGTTGGTGATCTTTCCAAAAAGAGAGAATATCGTTATGGAAAGAGAAACTATTGGTAATATAACGCTGAACGTTATCTGACTCAAACAGCTCCGCTGGTGTCTCCTCCCACTCAGAAAAAAAGCAGACGCCTTTTCTCTGGCATCTCTAACATTTATAATAAATACATAAATATAACAATCATAATGAAGATGCTTTCAAATAATTTAGCAAGCTGTAATTCATTTATTTTAACTCCACACGGCTCCTCCCCTGCCAAACTTCTCTCGCTGCTCTCTCCTCCGCAAACCACTAAATGAGGAAAAGGGAATATTCACTCAATCTATTTTGAATGTTACACATATAAGTCTAGTCTAAGCACGTGTAACACCTGTAGCCCGTGTATTTACCACAGACTGTAAGTATTAAAGTAATGAGGCCCCTGCTTTAGGCCTCTGCTGTGAGGCCCTAATGTACCTACCAGTAGCGGCGCCAGGTTTGCAATTTTGGGTAGGCCTGCATGATTAGTAAGTAGGCCAAATTCGCTTGCAAACTACAAAGGCTAGCTGGAATTGGGGTTTCAAAGAATATGGCTCAAACGCACACACACACGCACACGCACTCACGCGCGCACATACACCCAAGCTCATTTATGAAACTTGCGTAGAAAAAGGTGTACATTTTGGGTGTATATTCCATTTACGCAAAATCCACTGTCGGATTTATGAACATGTGAGATCCGCCCAGATCTGAGCGTACGCAGCTGCGGGTGTTGATAAATCGACTGAATACGAAAATATTTATGAAAGTCACACCTAGAATTATGCAGCAATCGCGTGTTTCACGCCCCGTCTTCGTGACAGGTCAGCAGGAAGCCGGCCTAAAAGACTGTTTGGAAGCCTCAAAAGGGACGTTTTGTTTGTTCATGTTTATGTAAAAATAAATATACTCTATATATTCAGCTGCGTTTTGAACAAATTTGCTAAAATGTTTTGATACATTAGAAAAATCTCTCTTGAATTGTAGAAGTGAATAAATATAGATTGATTGAATGAATGAATAATTCATATATATTATGCAGCGGTGGCTCTGAATGAAGCGTCTGCAGCGTCTTGGACGCAGCCTGGCTCGGGGTAGAAGTGCGCATTGAAGCGCTGTACACTTCAGAGAGCGTTTGCGGTCCAGATTTCACAAAGAAACTCTGGAGCCAAAACTTCTGCACATGTGGCGCGACCTCTCACGGCACTCGCTGCGCACTCTGGACAGGGCAGTGAGACATTTGTGAGTGAGCAATACCATCGATGCGTTATTGGGGTGTGTGTCTGTGTGAGGGTTACACAAATCTAATGAAATAACACATTGCTTTAGATGTGAATGAGGAATACAAATAGCCGTATGTAATTACGCAGCGCAGAGCCTGCCACAGCAATAGATGGGTCACACATCCCTGTTGCGTAAAGTGTATTTATAGAGCCTTTGACTGTCCAGGATCACAAAGCGCTTCACATTTTAAAAACATACAGATCAAAATAATACACACACAAGTCAGATTTAATAGAAGGTTCTCATCATGAGCTGTGATTTATTCGAAGTTTGCGTGTTTCCATTAGACTTTTTCTGATGCGCAAATTTAAATTTTGAAACATGATCCTCAATGAAAACATAGCATATAATTTTGCCAGAGGGAATATGTTTATTGTTGTCCATATCTTGAATTTCATGCGTGTTTTGGCGTGTTGTGCCGAAGGTTGAGATCAGCGTAGATTTACACCACCTCCAGACCTGGCGTATATTTTGTGCGTATTGTACGCTCACGTCCAGATAGATAAATGCGGAAAAGTGTAATATTTTGCGTACGCCTCATTTACCCTGATTTGGCCGTACGCAGGTTTCATACATGAGGCCCACAGTGAGTCTCACACAGGCCTAGAGTTTACCTCATCAGTGCGAGGCCAGCCTGGCCTGACCCTCCTCCTCTGGGACCTACGGGCCCGGGCCTCTGGCTCCTCTACCTCACAAAGTTCACGCTGAACTGTCTTAAAACTAAAATGAAAAAGGCTGCTCTTTTGTGAATGTTTTGAGAGCGTTGTCAATCTTTAAGACGAGGAATAGCTGTTGTTCTCGGGAAC